CTAAGCTCCGTGCAGTGAGAGAGCTCATTAGATGGAGGCGGCTGTGGTGGGAAGCTGTGCTGTCAGGACTCCCTGAGCCTCAGTCCATTCACCGGTAAAATGGAAGACATAGCGACCCTGCGTCCCTCCCAGGGTTGCGAGGTGGATCAGATGGGTTAGCATACGTGAGTAAAAGAGGAAGCTGCAAAGGGGTTTTGTGAATGACAAGGGGGGGTGAAGGGAGGTTCTGGGTCATGTAAAATGGGATGAAGATGAAGACAGCATCTGCCTTTTTCTCTTTTCTGTCCCCTTCAGTGCTTTGTTCTCAAAGAGCCCACATAGCCCCACACTCCCTGTGTGCACCCTGCTTTGGGTTCTGCAGAAGCTGTGCCTCCTGGTGCAGTCTAGCTGCCAGTCTCAGGGCACTGCCAGGTGACAACTCCACTGTGGGGAAAACTCCAGGGCTGTGAGCAGGAGTCCTGATGACGCGGGGGAACGGGAATGTTCACCTAGCCCAGGGTGCCCTGCAGCTTGGGAGCCGGCTGCAGCAGGAGGGATCAGAGGCCTGGCTGCAGGTGACTCATGGCGTGGGGCTGTCAAGCGACTCTGTTTTCCTTCCAGGTCTTGACCCTGCGGGCCCTCTGTTCAACGGAAGACCTCCCCAGGACAGATTAGATCCCGGGGACGCGCAGTTCGTTGACGTCATCCACTCTGACATTGATGGTAACATTCCTGTCTTTGTGGGCCAGACCTTCCAGATTCCTAGAGCACCTCTCCCAGGGGCTCATCAGGCCAGGGCAGATCAGGTTCCTTAGACGCCCTCCACTATGGGCAGGGCTCCAAATCCACGGCAGTACAGAAGAGAAAGCAGCTGCTTTCATGCAGGTACCCAGTGTGGATGATTTTCCCATAGCCTCTCTTTTTGTTCTGATAATAGAGAGTGCGTGTGCGTGCATGCATGCACGAGAGCAAGACCGAGACAGCAACACCCTCGACAGGGTCTCATCATGCCATGACCCCCTTCCCCAGCCCTCCAAACTAGTCAGATCCTGGGGGTCCCAGCCTGCACTGCAGTCTGTGCCATCAACCGGGCCCCTGCTGCTACTTTTTCTTTTCCCTATATTTTAGGGCCTCTTCTTTTTAAAATGATCACCATACTCAAGAACAGGTTGATTTGCACATCATGAGGACAAACATTTTTGTATGTGCAACTGGGTTTAGAGGCATGATTTTCTGGTTTTGTTGGTTCTTTGTCATTTGCTTAAGCTGACAGATATGTTCAGACATCATGCCTCTCCACACCGAGTGAGCCTGACCCACCTGTACAGCTCTTCGGCTTTCTCATGGTGCAGATTTCATATCCGGGACTGGGTACATGTCATGTCCATCTGGATGGTGTTGAAGGGTGGATGTCTACATCCAGGTGTTTGGTGACGAGCTAGAGTAGGAACTCGGAGAGGACTGGCCCCTGTGTTTCTTACTCATTAAAAATCTACACAAAGGTTGGGACCAGCAGATGACATAATGGTTACATCTCTGGGCTCCCACGTAGTCAACTGTGGTTCGAGTCCCAGACCCAGTGGCTTAAAACTCACTCCGGGTGTGTGTGCCTGCGTACCCAAGATCCCGAGAGGAAAATGGAGGAAAAGGGATTGTGGTGCGGCCATCCCCCCGGGGGGGTTGATTCTCACATTCTGGCTCTCTGTCTCTCCAGTGAGCGCACACGCCCAATAGCAAAAATCTCTTAAAATAAAAAGAATTATATACATGCAAACAGCTGCTCAGGAAAACAGCAAGCAACTAGAGGGTGCTAGCCAAATATAAATAAATCTCTCATTTTATTGGCCTTGCAGTGAATGAATAACCATACTCCCTTATATCTTTAGAAATACTGGAAGCAAATCTTATTGCTATTTTTGTAGTCGCTTAGTTGGAAATCATTTCTTTCTTTCTTTTTTAAAAATTATTTATTTAATTTTATTTATTATTTTTCGATTTGACCAGAGAGAGAGAGACAGAGAGGGAAAGCAAGAAAGCTGGCTGCCAGGTCCAGGACTGAAACTGTGGTCAGCCATGTGGAAATCCAGTGCCTTAACCACCACTCCACTTGCTGGCCCCGGAGATCATTTTTTCCTAACTAGTTGGGTAGTTTTGGATAAATAATTTTTTATTTAATTCCATTTATTATTATTATTTTTTAACTTGACCAGATAGAGAGACAGAAAGGGAAGATGAGAACGCAAACCACCAGGTTTGGGACATGAACTGTGGTCAGCCATGTGGAAATCCAGTGCCTTTAACCACCATACCACATGCTTGCCCCCGGACAAATAATTTAATTAGGTATAACAATAACAACAACAATAATCATGACAATTTGTGTGTGTGCGTGTGTTAATTTAGGTTTCTGCCATAGGACATATGCACTCTCCAGAGAGAGACAGAGAGAGAAAGTGAGAAATTAATTACCTCCTGATAAAGTGCAAAGATGTCTAACACAGCATTACCTATAGTGGTTAATGTTTTAGAAATAGTTTAAATAGGAAAAGCCGGAAATGAACTATGGTGCGCTCACACAAATATAATTGCTAAAAATTGCCACGACACAATCCTTTCTCCTTCATTCTCCTCTCAGGATTTCGGGCATGCACGCACATATGCCTGGGGTGATTTCCAAGCTGCTAGGTCCAGAACTCAAACTGCATTAGCCCATGTGGAAGTCCAGTGCCTTAACCACCTGGTCACCTGCTAACCCCATGATCATAATAATTTTAATAATAACGATGCAATTCCTTGCCTGTATCATGCAAGCTAGTGAGGTATGAGATGTGGTAAGTTTAGTATAAAAGCCTAGTGTGTTCTTTTTTAGCACTGGGCTACAAGGAGCCATTAGGACACATAGACTTCTACCCAAATGGAGGATTAGATCAACCTGGCTGCCCCCAAACGATATTTGGAGGTAAGCACAGATACTTTATATTTTATAAAATAATGGTATAAACAGGCATACTTTAAAAATTGATATTATTGGGACCAGCAGTTGGTGTAATGGCTATGTTGCTGGACTCCCATGTAGTCGACTGCGGTTCGAGTCCCGGACCCAGCGGCTTAAACCTACACTGGGTGCATGTGCGTGCATGCCCAAGATCCCAAGAGGAGAATGGAGGAGAAGGGATTGTAGCGTGGAATGTAGCGTGGGGGGCGATTTCTTGCTTTCTGTCTCTCTGTCTCTCTCTGTCTTTCTGGTGAGCCCACGCGTCCTATAGCAAAAACGTCTCAAAAAAAAAAAAAAAAAAAGAAAGAAAAAAGCATTTTGTGAAGAGTTGGAGATGAAGCGGTTGTGGCCGCATTTCCTACCTCCTGCAGTCGGTTTCTTTGCCTAGAACCTGGGAGCAAGAGATTCAGAATCGAATCTCTTTTCCCTCACCTTCTTGTGAGATTTTTTTTTGATCTTCAGCTACACTTGTTTTTGGCTTTGTGAGGCATCTTACCATCCATCGCAATGGCCAGCAACGTTACCGAGACAGATCCTCGCTCCATGAGTCCCCGTGAATTCATTGGCAGTCTCAGCACTCTTGTGGTCACGAAGTCTGACGTGGAGGCAATCTTCTCGAAGTCTGGCGAAATTGTGGGTCGCTCTGTTCATAAGGGCTTTGCCTTCGTTCAGTATGTTCATGAGAGGAATGCCCGGGCTGCTGTGGCAGGAGAGGCTGGCAGGATGATTGCCGGCCAGGTTTCAGACATTAATCTGGCTGCAGAGCCAAAAGTGAACCGAGGAAAAGCAGGGGTGAAACGAGCTGCAGCGGGGATGTACAGGTCAGCACCAGAACACCCTTCTCCGTCCCCTCTACTCAGCTCCTCTTTTGATTTGGACTGTGACTTTCAGCGCGATTATGATGACAGGATGTAGTTACCCAGCACGTGTCCCCCTGCCACCTTCCTGCTGCTCGCGCTGTAGTGCCCTCGAAACCAGCGTGTGTCAGGAAACACTTCACAGAGGGGCAAAAGCTTCAATTCTAAGAGTGGACAATGAGGATCGTCTTCCAAGTCTGGAAAGTTAAAAAGAGATGACATTCAGGCCATTAAGAAGGAGTTGACCCAGATAAAACAAAAAGTGGATTCTCTTCTGGAAATCCTGGGAAAAATCGAAAAGGAACAGAGCAAACAGACAGGAGAGGTGAAGAACGATAAGTCAGAAGAGGAGCAGAGCAGCAGCTCCCAGAAGAAAGATGAGACTAATGTGAAGATGGAATCTGAGGGGGGTGCAGGTGACTCTGCTGAGGAGGGGACCTACTGGATGATGATAATGAAGATGGGGGATGACCAGCTGGAGTTGATTAAGGATGACGAAAAAGAGGCTGAGGAAGGGGAGGATGACAGAGACAGCGCCAATGGCGAGGGTAACTCTTAAGCACACAGTGGGGTTTAGAAATCCTACCCATTATTTCTTTACCTAGGCGCTTGTCTAAGATCAGAATTTTGGCCAGGTCCTCTCCCCAGTATCTTCAGCACATGCTCCCTGTTCTCCCCATCTTTGTCCCCTCATGTTCATGAATTCATACTGCTCTGCATCTGGGCCCATTTCACTTCTCTTGATGCTGTAACTCTTAAGCACACAGTGGGGTTTAGAAATCCTACCCATTATTTCTTTACCTAGGCGCTTGTCTAAGATCAGAATTTTGGCCAGGTCCTCTCCCCAGTATCTTCAGCACATGCTCCCTGTTCTCCCCATCTTTGTCCCCTCATGTTCATGAATTCATACTGCTCTGCATCTGGGCCCATTTCACTTCTCTTGATGCTCCTAGTAGTTTTGTTAAGTCTTACCCTGTAATTTTGCTTTTAATTTTGATACCTCTTTATGACTTAACAATAAAAAGGATGTATGATTTTTAAAAAAGAAAAAATTGCTATTATTTTATATGCAGTAGTTTTTATTTATTTTTAATTTGCTATAGGGCACGTGCACTTGTGAGAGAGAAAGTGAGAAAACACTTGCTGGGGGGATGGCCATGCCACAATCTCCTCTCCTCCCTTATCCTCTAGGGATGTTGGGCGCGCGCACACACACGCACACACACACACACGCGCACCTGCAGTGTTTCACAAGCTGCTCGTTCCAGCCATGTGGGATCCAACCTCCTTGGAGTCTACCTTGTGGAACCGCAACCCCACAGGCTGGTCCCATGCCATAGTTTTTAAAGGAAACATATTTCCTAAGACAATAAAGATGGTATAAATATTAACTATAAATAACTCAACTGTATCTCTTAAAAGCTATATGATTAAAAACTATTATGAAATACTTCTCTCTCTTGAAAAGGTGTGTTTTTGACCTAGAAAGTTCACATCTGGCAACCCCTCCTAGAGAGATACGAGAAAATGTAGACAAGATAAAGTATAAAGATGTCTAACACAGCACTATTTATAGCGGCTGATGTTTCAGAAAGAGTCTAAATAGGAAAAGCTGGAAATGAATTATGGTACGCTTACACAAATATAATTGCTAAAAGTCATTTTTTTCAGAGATTAATGAAAATTCTTACAATATGATATTAAGTGAAAAGACATAAAATATACAACATGATTGCAGTTTATTTTTTATTTTTTAAAGAATTATTTTATTTAACTATTTATTTACTTATTTTAATTTGACAAGAGACAGAATGAGCGTGAGAAAGGAAGAGAGAGAGAGAGAAAGAGAGAGGAAAAATGAGAAAGCAAGCCACCAGGTCCGGGACTCCAACCACAGTCGGCCATGTGGGAGCCCGATGCCCTTAACCACCATGCCATCTGCTGGCCCCTGCAGCTGACTTTTTAAGTGTATATTTGGACATGTGTAAGTATGAAAAAATGCTGTGAATAAGTATTGGTGGTAGACTCTTGATATTGTACTGTTAGGAGCTTTTGCATCCCATTTTCCTGTTTTTATTTTCAAAACAAATATATATTACTTTTTTTTTCTTTTCAGAGAGATTTTTGCTATAGGGTGCATGTACTCGCTGGAGAGACAGAGAGAGACAGAAAGTGAGAAGTCACTCCCTGGGGGTGGGGTGGCCATGTTGTAATCCCTTCTCAATTCTCCTCTTGGAATTTTGGGCACACACGCACATGTGCCCAGTGGACTCGAACTGCAGTCGGCCATGTGAGAGTCCCGCGACATAACCATTATGACATCTGCGGGTACCTATATTACTTTTGTAATGAGAAGAAAACCCATAAAACAAAAATTGGGAGTTGGAGAACAATCTGAACGTGAGATGGAGGGACAGGATTTAAAAACCCACCCACAAGTGCTCTAAATTTGTATTTTACTATTGCTAGAGGAAGTTAAAATGTAGAAATGATTCTGAAAGAAAAGCCATTCCTTAATTGGTAGCTGTATGCAGCTTCATTGGCGTGACATACTATTTGAAAGTGGTCTGGCCACAATGGCACACGTGGGGCCAACCGTATTCTACCTGTCGTCTAACTACCTCCGAGCAGCCGGAGAGAATGTACTCTGCTTACAGAGAACACCCTGCATTGCTAGTAACTTCATTCTTTCTGCAAAGGAAGATCCAGGCACAGTAAGGAAATGTTGCCTGCCAGTTTTACTCCAGTCCAGTTTGGCCCCGTGCCAACCCCGTGCTTCTCTCTTGTCCCAGCTTATTTCTCCTTGTCCTTCTTTGACCTATCCTGTGGGCACGAGTGAACTCCGGGGAAGGAAATAGTGATCTGATTCTATCACTCAGCCCCTCTCCAAACCAGTAGCTCACAATCACAGCCCTGCTTTTCATGGGGTTTTATTCCGATGATGTTTTTAAATTTATTGCCAAAAGGTGGTTTTCTCTTACCAGAGAGACAGGGAGGTAGGGGGGAAGTGCTCTCAATGGAGCAATGGTCATGCTACACTCTCTTCTCCATTTTCCATTTTTTTCCTTAGAGATTTTTGCTTTAGGGTGCGAGTGCTTGCCAGAGAGACAGAAAGTGAGAAATCACCCCTGGGGAGGATGGACATGCCACAATCCCTTCTCCATTCTCCTCTTGGGATCTTGAGCACGCACGCACATGCGCCCAGTGTGAGTTTTAAGCCATGGATCCAGGACTTGGACCGCAGTGGGAGTCCAGAGATGTAACCCTTACGCCATCTGCTGGTGCTGTTTTCTCATTTCGTTGGGATTAGGGGCATGGGCACATACATGTTCAGCGTAGGGATCGGGCTCCCTTAACCACTAGGCCACAGGCCAGCCCCTGTCAGATTCTTCACCCCCTTGCTTATCGTCTTTAGCACCCAGCTCCCTTTGTGAGGGACATGGCCTCTGGCCTCTCTGCGCTGCAGCTCTTCACCATCTCCAACTCTCTGCCACCGCTCCTTGTGCCCCAGCCTCCCGCCTCGCCACAGCGCTACCCGGCACCCACTAAGGACTAACTGGAGGCCTGCCTCTCCTCTTCCTGCCCATTCACGGCTTTGGTGCCATCTCCCGTCTTCAAGCTCTCTCAGTGCAGCCTTGTGGTAGAAGCGGCTCCGGCTGCCCCAGTGCCCGGAACCCACAGGCTCTCGGGTCTCTGCCATGTCAGTCCCACCTTTGCTCGGAGACGCTGGCGCAGGGGAAGCCTCGTTGGTCCAGTACAAGGTCCAGGCGAGCTTGTTAACTCCTCTTTGACCCTCGACAAGGCCAGGGGACCTCCTCACCGCTTGCTGACTCCCTGTGACCACTCCTCACCCCGGGGAGCGGCATCCCATCTTTGCTCAAGGCTGTCTCCCCTGCTTGCCCTCCGGGGTCGTTCGGAGCAGAGGACTCCCGGTGCCTTCTCTCCCCATGTTCGTACTCGCTCCCTCAGTGGCTCGTCTCCTCTGCCTTGAGCACACTTGCCTTCTCCTGGAAACCCCTGAGGAATCTTTGATGAGCACTAATTTTACCTCCTCCTTTGACAAACTCGTCCAGCGCGGACTTCATCTGTGCTTCCACCGCCTCACTGTCCATCACGCTAGCCCCGCCCCCACCCGACCCACAGCCCCGCCCACTCCCCTCACCCCGCCCACACAGTGCCATCAACTCCCAGGCTGCATGCAGCACCGCAGGGGTTCTGAGACTCTGGCCCTGACGGGGATCACACGGAGGGCTTGTTAAAACAGATTACACACCACTCTCCCAGGGCCCCTCATGGCCAGGACCCAAGGATTTGCATTTCCAACAAGTTCCCACGTTCCCAGATGATGCTAATCTGCTGGTCTGGGGCAGTACTTGGGGAATTTCGGTAGCAGAGCAAAGAATCAGGTTTTGGAGTTACATAGGCCTGGGTTTTAACCCCTGCGTTGCCGCTTACCAGCATTGTACCCTGGGTTCTCAGTGCCTCAGCGCTCTCATCCGTAAAGTCAGGCTACCACCACCGACCTTACAAGATGGCGAGGGTTAGCAATCTGGACATAAAAGCACCTGGTACCTAGGGTAAGTCATCCACACTAGTGTTTCTGATTTGTCTATTCCAGTGGTTTAAAAATTTATAAAATGTTGGTTGAAAAAAATTTGAAAACAAATTAATACTTAATTTGCAAGGAAAGAAATTTGTTTTTTAGAGAGTTTTTGCTATAGTGTGTGTGTTCTCACCAGAGAGACAGAGACAGAAAGTGAGAAATCCCCCCCCCCCCCCGGGGGGGTGGCCATGCCGCAATCCTTTCCAGTCTCTTCTCAAGATCTTGGGCACTCATGCACACACTCCCAGTGTGAGTTTTAAGCCAGAGGGTGGGGGACTTGAATTGCTGTTGATTACATGGGAGTCCAGCAACGTAACCATTACGCCATCTACTGGTCCCAGGGGAAAAAATTAACCCACAAAAATATCTATCATCACTATCATTCATAAAATCAAGGTCATTTTTAACAGGTACACACAAAAAAGAAAGGACATAAATGCAGAACAAGCAGAGCTTTAAATTGGATATATTTTGCTTAATGAAATACAATCTCATCCATGTTTTCCCACTTTCCTGCAGTCCAGGAAGACCCTTGTCACAGGATAGAAATGGCACTCGAGACCCACTGAGCAGTTGTACTTCCCAGTGATTCCCGACGTCTGCAGCTGTTCCCAGGTTTCCCCTGGCTACCTCCCTGGTCTCCGTCCAATGCCAGGCTTCATAACCTTTTTTCCTTTTTTCTTCTAAATTTTTGCTAGAGGATGCATGTGCTCGTCAGAGAGAGAAAGCGCTCTTCCCCCAGTGGGGTTGCCAGAGCACAGTCCCCTCTCAGGATTTTGGGCATGCTGCACACATGCCCAATGCATTTTCAAGCCACTGGGACTGGCACCCGAACAGGTGGCAATGTGGGATCCAGCTGCCTTAACTATCAGGCCACCAGCTGGCCCAGCCTTGTTACTTTTGATGTTAATGAAAAAATGTGGCAGTTCTGGTTCTTGATTTTTGGCAGCCATTGGGATTCTTCATGCTGAAGTGTCACAGACTGAGGAAGCTGCTCGTGACCGGGTTTTACCTAAGCTCTGAGCAGGAATAAGGCAGAGGGGTTGCGCTGTGCCTTCGTCCAACGAGCACTTCCTCTAATCTGCCGTGTGCTGGGATCTCCAGCTGTCAGTGAGCAAAACAGGCCAAGTCCTTGTTTTGGGAGAAACAGTATCTTTTTTAATATGAAAGATATACTTTAATTTTTTTTTTTTTTTTTTTGCAATAGGGCATGTGTGCTCACCAGAGAGGACAGAGAGAAAGAGAGAGACAGAAAGTGAGAAATCACCCCCAAGAGAAATAGGCACACTGGAATTCCTCCCCCTCCAGTCTTCTCTCAAGATCCTGGACCCACACACAAACCTACCTGGCGTGATTTTTCAAGCCACCTTGTGCAGGACTTGAAGACACAGTTGGCCATGTGGGATCCAGCACTTTCACCTCCAAGCCATCTGCTGGCGCTGAAAGACTGTTTTTAAAAAGTCAGAACTTGTGGGTAGGTGAAGGGAGAATAGCAGATTTTTGATAATTACAATTACCGGGGCAGGAATGTTATGTGCACAAGAATTTTTGTATCATTTTCTCAACTTTTGTGCTTGTTTGGTAATTCCCTTAATAAATAGCAGGTCAGTGAAAGAAGTGCCTATCTGAAGCTAGTTGTTGTTCTTCCAGTCTCCCTCTAAATAATATATCATTTTAAAAATTATCATAAAGAGATGAGGCTCGCAGGTGGCGTGGTGGTTAAGGGCACTGGATTCCCATATGGCTGACTGTGGTTCAAGTCCTAGACCTGGCAGCTTGCTTTATTGCTTTCCCTTTCTCTCTGGTCAAATTAAAAAATAAGAATAACAAATGAAACTAAATAAATAATCCTTTTTTTAAAAAAGCATCATCAAGAGGGATGTATAAATGATTATATAATGACTTGCTCTTGTGATGCCAGTTTTGCTAACTCCTCTTTTTTGGGTCCTTTTTATTTTGGGCTGTGAAAGAATTCACAAACTCAGAAAGAAAGTGGAGGGCCAGCAGGTGGTATAGTGGTCAGGGGGCGCTGGACTCCCACATGGCCAACCGTGGTTCATGTCCCAGACCTGGTAGTTAACTTTCTCTCTCACTCTGTCCCTCTCTGGTCAAATTGAAATAAATAAATAAAATAAATAAAGTTCGATGAAAGCAAAATATTTTTTAAAAAGAAAAATCATGGATAGAAAAGATTGTATTCACTTTCCAAGAGAGGAGAAGGCTGGATGGGAGCTCTGCGTCAGTTCTGAGGAGGGTAGGGGTGGTGGTGAGGCCTTGACTGGCACTATAGGAAAGACGGGCTGTGGTCGGGTCACTGAGGCCAGCCTGGATGGGACACCTACTTTTGTAGGTCCTTGGTTTGCTTCGTAGTTGTCTCTGGGTGTCATATCTGGCTGCTGTAGGCTCCGTGTAGTCCTTAGTTGGTGCCAGCTGTTGACCGGCGTTACAGTCTTTCTGTCTGGAAGCAAGAACTCAGGGAATACCAGGCCTGCCATGTGCTGTGAAGTCAAGACAGTACCATCTGCCGGGGGAGCGAGCAGGAGGAGTACCTGGGGGTTTTTGCTGGGCCTCTCCAATTAAACCATCTGAGACAGGAATCAGCCCTTTTTCATCCCTAAGGACTTGGGGGCCAGTTAACCCTTTCACGCCCGACTCTCCGTGATTCCAGGAAGGTTGACCATTTGACCCAGATGCCATCTCCTCCCGTGGCTGCAGCCTGACAGACAGACCCAGCGTCTGTTAGTCTGTGAAGTAGCCCTGCAAAACTAAACCAGGGGCTCTCCAACTTCTCTTCAGGATTATTGGTAGTGTTTGCTAAAATGCTGACTCCTGGGCCTCCTGAGTCAGAAATATATGAAAGTGGACCTGAACTGTGTATTTCTCCATTTTGACCAGAGAGAGAGAAAGCAAGCTGCCAGGTTCAGGACTCAAACCATGGTCGACCATGTGGGAGTCCAGCATCTCTAACCACCATGCCACCTATCAGCCCCAGAAACTGTGTATTTTTAAATTAAATTATCTTTGAGAGAGATTTTTGCTATTAGGACGTGCATACTTACCAGAGAGACAGAAAGCAAGAAATCATCGTCTGGGGGAATGGCCGTTGCTGCAATCCCTTCTCCTCCATTCTCCTCTCGAGATTTTGTGCATGCATGCACATGCACATGCACCCAGCATGAGTTTCAAGCCACCAGGTCTGGGCCTAGAACCGTGGTTGGCCATGTGGGAGTCCAAGGCCTTAAACACTATGTCATCTGCTGCCTCTGAACCGTGTATTTTAACAGCATGGTTACAATGCACACAGTGTCTGGAGTCACACTGAGTGGCAGCAAAAAATCATAGCCAAAGGGGCAGTGGACGTCTCTAATTAAAACATATTTGCACAAATTCTGGCCATAAACTTAGCTTGATGTAATCTTTCCTCCTGTCTTTTGTCAGCAGAAATCTTTCCCAATGGCTTCATACAGGTTAAGTGGAATCAAGTACTCTGAGGCTGTTGGTGTAGTCCTGGTGTGGAGGGCCTGGGTGACAAAGCGTGTGTGTGTGTGTGTGTGTGTGTGTATGTGTGTGTGTGTGAAATATGTACTATACCATGTACTACTAAATGCTTCAGCGGCTCTACTCTCATCATCTTTGACAAACAGGATTGCAGTACTTTAAATGCGACCACCAGAGGTCCGTGTACCTGTACCTTGCTTCTCTGAGAGAGAACTGCACTGTCACTGCGTACCCCTGTGACTCCTACCGGGACTACAGGAACGGCCAGTGTGTGAGCTGCGGTGTGCCTCAAAAGGAGTCCTGTCCCATTCTGGGTAAGTCCGACAGGTGGTTTTCTCCCCGGCCTACAAAGAGCTCTCTTTTGGTATGAATCTCAGAATCATTTTACTATCCAAAAGTGGCCCTGAAATTGTATTTTTGTTTTCTTTTTTTGGGGGGAGGTTTTTGCTATAGGGCGTGTGCACTCACCAAAAAGAGAGAGACAGAGAGACAGAAAGAGGGAAATCATCCCACAGAAGGGATGGCCACGCCGCAATCCCTTCTCCTCCATTCTCTTGGGATCTTGGGCACGCACACACACTCAACTGGCGTGAGTTTAAGCCACTGGGTCTGGGACTTGAACTGCGGTCGACTACATGGGAGTTCAGCGACATAGCCATTACGTAAGCTAACTGCTGGTCCCCTGAAACTGTATTTTCTAGCCAGTTTATCCTTCGAACTACTTTAGTCTCTAGGGGAAACAAGCAATGTTAAAAGCAACCTGAGGGCCGGCAGGTGGCATGGTGGTTGAGGCACTGGACTGCCACATGGCTGATTGCAGTTTGAGTCCTGAACCTGGAGGCTTGCTTTCTCACTTTCTCCCTCTTTCATGTCCTATAGCAAAATTGAAAAGAATAACAATGAAATAAACAAATACTTCTTTAAAAAGAAGAAAAGCAATCTGTGGGCCCCCTATGCCATGGTGGTGAAGGCGGCTGGATCCCACATGGCTGGCTGCGCAGCTTGAGTACCAGACCTGGTGGCTTTAGAGAGGAGCTGAGTGCAGGCGCATATGTGCCCGCCCACATTCTCTAGCGGAGAATGGAGGAGAGACTACGGCATGGGCATGGCCATCTGCATGTGGGGGTGCCTTCTCATTTTCTCATTCTCTCTCTGTGTCTCTCACTAGCAAGTGAGTGTGCCTCCCAGCAAATTCGAAAGAAGACAAAAAAGTGATCCGTACAGGATTCTATCTAGAAGGTAGTATGGCCTCTTTGCATGCCTTATTCTAGCACAAAAAGGAAGGTTCCGGAGGGTTTCCAAGCCAGGGCACAGTCGCTTTACAGCACTTGCTCCTGTGCACAGAGCCTCTCTCCCAGGGGAGGGCCTTCACTCAGGAGGGCCTTAGCCCACCCTTAGCTCAGAGACCTCTCTGTCAAGTGAGCCTTCGGAGCGGTCCCGCCCAACAAGTCGTGTCTGGAAGTTCTCCTGCTGCACACTCTGGCTGTGTGTGCCCGTGCCAGCCATGGGGCGAGTGACAGGTAGTGTGGAGGCCCGGGGGGTATCTGCTAGGGGTTCGCGGACACCGACAGGTGGCTAGGACTTTGAGACTGGGTGGCTATGAGCATGTCCTATCTTTCTCAAAAGCTTAAACCCAAGTTAACAGTAAGACATATTAAAGGCAAGGACTTCTCAACCTTGATTGTGCATTAGAATCATGCAGAGAACTTTCAGAGAATACTGATGCTTGGGCTCCGCTACAGTACCGTAGGCAGGAAGGTGCCTCTGCCTGATGCTGCAGCCATAGGGGAGGCCTCAGGTTCGAATCTCAGGTAGACCTGAGCATGCTAGGAATATTGGAAGGCATGCCCATGATTTTGCTGGCTATAAGACTGGGGGAGGATTTCACGATGTTGTAAGACCCTGTCAAGAGCACCTCTTTCTCTCTCATGAAATAAAGAAATAGGGCCAGTGGGTGGCGTGGTGGTAAAGATGCCGGACTCACATGGCTGACCGCAGTTCAAGTCCTGGACCTTATAGCTTGATTTCTCACTTTCCCTCTTTCTGTTTCTCTCTGGTGAGCCTGAGCGCCCTGTGGCAAATTTAAAAATTAAAAAAAAAAAATTATTTATAAAGAAATATCTTTAAAGCAAAAATCACATATTTAGGGATCAGCAGTTGGCATAATGGCTATGTTGTTGGACTCCCATGTAGTCGACCGCAGTTCAAGTCCTGGACCCGGTGGCTTAAACATACGCTGGGCGCATGTGCATGTGTGCCCAAGATCCTGAGAGGAGAATGGAGGAGAAGGGATTGCAGCGTGGCCATTCCCCCTGGGGGTGATTTTTTGCTTTCTGTCTCTGTATCTCTCTCTTTCTGGTGAGCGCACGCCCTATAGCAAAAATCTCTCAAAAAAAAAATCACACATTTATTAGGAAAAACAAAAACAAAAACTGATGCTGGATCCCATCCCAATCAGTGAAATCAGAATCTGGAGGCTGTTTCTCCAGGGGTGGGGGCAGAGGAGAGGAAGAGCCCCATCTAGACAGCACTCGGCCTGGTTCCCTGCAAGCACAGACAAGAAGGACGCTTATCTGCTTGATGACATTGGCATGTGGCACGCCCAGGCCCTGTGCAGTGCCAGGGCCAGCTGTAGTTCTTCAAGAAGGCACACTGCTTCGTGAGAGTGGGGCTGCTTTAGGTACAAATCTGAACCTGCTTAACTAGAAAGTTCATGCGTCACTGAAAACGGTGCCATCTTTAGGTCTCGCCTGGGTGTGTGCTCCCCACTCTGCTGCTGAGACCCGGTAAAACAGAAAAGCCACGCAGAGGTGGAGTTAGCCAGCTAGATGGGGGGCCCTGTGGGTCCTCTCGTAGCGTGCCAGGGTCGAGTGGGAGGGAGGAGGTTTGGGTGGGGGCGGACACAGTCCGACTCACTGTCCTCGCCCCCTCGGTCGCTTTTCCATGGATTCCATACCTGCCGATGCTGCGCTTTCCAACGCGTTTCCCAGGCTACTACGCGGACGACTGGAAAGACTACTTACTGGAGAACCACCCTCCGATGACCAAGGCCTTCTTAGACACAGCCGAGAAGAAGCCATTCTGCAGTAAGTGGGAATGTGATTGTTTGCTTTGCCCAACCCTTTTATTCTGGGAGTGGCCGGGCCTCAGCTTCAGGGCCACTGCTTGGCACATGGGGGCCACAGGGAAACACGGACCATGGAGCTGGCAGGGCCTAGGTTGAATACGGACTGTCACCCAACAGCTGTGAGGCCTTGATCTTTCGACCTGCTTCCCAGTGTTCTGGTTGGTAAACTGGGGATAATAATGCCTGTCTTCTGGGTTATTCAGTGGAAAGAAAACTCTCAATAAACTTGGCTTGTTCGCGTCACTGGAAGGCCATTGTAATCACTAAGATCTTCCAGAAGATTGATTGATTTCCCACAGGACATGAAATTAGAGCTAGGAAACACTGGTGCCAGCCCCAGCTGTGGGCCAGCTCTGAAGCAACCAAGGTCATCTGAAGGTATCCAGAGGTCGCGTGCTCCAGATGAGGCTAGACGGGGCAGCCGATGGCAACTCTGGGGCTGACCTTATTCCTTAATTGGGT